CACACCCATACTGCTAACTAACCTTAACCAGTCACACCCATACCACTAATCAATTCTTCACCAGCTGCAAATTTACCCTTAGCTAATCTCTTAACGAACCACACTCCCACCACTAACCAATTCTTAACTAGCCACACTTCTACTGCTAACTAATCCTTAACCAGCCATAAACCCATTGCTAACTAATCCTCAACCAGCCACTCCTCTACCACTAGGGCAAAGTTTGATGGAATTAGACAGGAGTTTGCACAGACTAATTGGAGTAGTTTGTTTGCAGGCAAAGGGACCTCCAGCAAGAGGGAGGCCTTTAAAAGTGTGACAGCACGAGTTCAAGGTCTATATGTTCCTGTGAGGGTGAAGGGCAAGGTTGGCAGGAGTAGGGAACCCTGGATGACAAGCAATATTAAAGTTTTGACCAGAATAAAGGATTCATGGCTCAGGTCCAGGCAGCTGGGATCAAGGGAATCCCTGGAGGTATATATAGGGAATACAGGAGTTTACTGAAAAGGAAATCAGGAGGGCGAAAAAGGGGGCATGAGATAGCTTTGGCTGAGAAGATTAGGGTGAATCCAAAGAGATTCTTTAAGTATATTAAAGGGAAAAGAATAACTGGAGAGAGAATACAACCCCTCAAGGACCAAAGTGAACATGTATGTTTGGAACCGCAGGAGATGGGCGAGGTCCTCAATGAATATTTCTCCTCTGTGTTTACTGTGGAGAAAGACATAAAGACATGAAGACTTGGGAAAGTTCGTGATGATATCTAGGGGACAGTCCATATCACAGTAGAGGAGGTGTTGGAATTATTAGAATGTATGAATGTGGATAAATCTGCTGGTCCTGACCAGATATATCCAAGAACCCTGCAAGAGGCTAGAGAAGAAATTGTGGGAGGTCTGGCTGATATATTTGCATCATCGTTAGCCATGGGTGAGGTTCCGGAAGACTGGAGGGTGGCTAATGTTTTGCCCTTATTCAAGAAGGGCTGCAAAGAAAAACCTGGGAATTATAGACCAGTAAGCTTAACATCTGTGGGAGGTAAGTTACCTGAGAAGATTCTGAGGGATAAGGTATACATGCATTTGGAGAGACAGGGTTTGATTAGGAGTAGTCAGCATGGCTTTGTGCATGGGAGATCATGCCTCAAAACTCTGCTAGAGTTCTTTGATAAAGTGACCAGGAAGGTCAATGAGAGCAGGGGAGTAGACATAGTCTATATTGATTTCAGTAAGGTCTTTGATAAGGTTCCATGTGGTAGGCTGCTCTGGAAGGTTAGCTCACATGGATTCCAGGGAGAGTTGGCAAATTGGATACACATTTGACTTGATGGTAGGAAGCAGAGGGTAATACTGGAAGGATGTTTGTCGGACTGGAGGCCTGTGATTAGTGATGTGCCTCAGGGGTCAGTGCTGGGCCCATTGCTGTTTGTTGTCTATATCAATGATTTGGATGAGAATGTACTAGGCATGATAGGTAAGTTTGTGGATGACACTAAAATAGGCGGTATTGTGGACAGTCAGGAAGGTTATTAGAAATTGCAGCAGGATCTTGATCAGCTGGGGAAGTGGGCCCAGAAATGGCAAACGGAGTTTAATATAGATAAGTGTGAGGAGTTGCAGTTTAGAAAGTCAAATCAAGGTAGGAGTTTCATTGTGAATGGTAAGGCCTTAAGGAGAGTGGAACAGAAGGACCTTGGAGTTCAGGTGCACGGTTGTCTGAAAGTGGAGTCACAGGTAGACAGGGCAGTGAAGAAGGCTTTTGGCACACTGGCCTTCATCAGACAGGACATTGAGTACAGAAGTTGGGAAGTTGTTGCAGTTGTACAGGACGTTGGTGAGGCCGCACTTGGAATATTGTGTTCAGTTTTGGTCACCTTGCTATAGGAAGGATGTTATTAAACTGGAAAGAGTGCAGAAGAAATTTACAAGGATGTTGCCAGGACTCAAGGGACTGAGTTACAGGGAGAGTTTGGACAAGCTAAGACTTTTTTCTTCAGAGCTTAGGAGACAGAGGGAGAATCTTATAGAAGTGGATAAGATCATGAGAGGCATGGATAGGGTGAATGCACTCAGTCTTTTTCCCAGGGTTGGGGAATCGAGGACTAGAGGGCATCAGTTTAAGGTAAGATGAAAAAGAATACATGGGAACCTGAGGGGCAACTTTTTTACACAGAGGGTGGTGCATGTATGAAATGAGCTGCCAGCAGAAGAGGTCAAGGCGAGTACATTAACAACATTTAAAAGGCATGTGGACAAAAACATGGATAGGAAAGGTCTAGAAGGATATGGACCAAGTGCAGGGAAATGGGGTGAGTGTGGATGGATATTTTGGTTGGCATGGAACAGTTTGGGCCAAAGGGCCTGTCTCCGTGCTGCAGGACTCTATGATTATAATCCTTACACAGCCATGTCTCTTTCTGTAATTTAGGGAGAGACAGGAATGTGACAGGAAATCTGTTTCTAGGTGTTGTTAGAGAGATAAGGACATTGGGAATAACTTCCATGCTCTTGTCCGACAAAGTGTCTCTGCAATCTTCCACCGCAATCAGAGAAGGCAGACTGGGCTTCATATTTATGTCTCCTCATTGAAGATGTCACCTCAGAAAAAGCAGTGCTCCCTCAGTCTTGCACCGGGAATGCCAATGGAATTGTGTGCTGGAGTTGGGCTTGATCCCATGGCCACTGAGCCAGGCTAACACAGAGGCTTGCTGAGAGAGATCTTATCAACTTTCTAAACCTGTGCTGACCCGGCTATTCACCAGGATTTCACTCATAATTGACAATCCGTGTAAACATGAGCAATATGCGCATTGCCTGTCACATGCGTGATGCCAGATCACTCTCCCATGTGTACAAATCACTCAGTCACACACACAACAGCCTTTTACAGGTCTGGCAAACAGCTCATGCTTTGCCTGGCTCACTGTCCAAAGTGTTAGAGCTGGAAGGAAGGCCAACCTTACAGAGTTGCTGTTCATTGTTAGAGGACAACATATTCCTGTATCAGCCTTTTACATGCAACACGGCCCCTTGGACTTTTCAAAAGATGCAAAGTTGCTTTTTTAAACAAAGAAACTTAAGCTGTGTTTGCCCAGATTTGCTGTGCTTGCCATACAGGCTTGTCCAAAAACAGTCCTAGACACTATCAACCCTTTCGTTCATTCCGTGTTCCCACACCATCAGCTGGATCCTCCTCCCTACTCTTCCCCTCTTTCAAATCAGCAACCCAGCAGATTCAAACGTTTTGTCTTCCCTCAGCAGAGTGTTTGACAGGGTTCAATCTGACAGGTCCCGAAAACCCAGTGAGATCCAGTGAACATAAATGGGGGAAATAACCCTATCTGATACAGAACTCTGTAGTGGGGGATGGAGGGGACTGAATCTAATCTGCATTAGTCACTGGCTGTTCAATGAAGCATGGCCCTGCAGGAATGGAAGAGAGTATTGTGTAATGTGAAGTTTTACACAAGAATATGGGGTGGGGGCAGATGGACTAGTGGGGTTAACACTGGCAAGCTGACTCAGATTCCACACACTCAGCTGTATTGAGGTTTCTGTGCAATCTCAAACAACTGACTCTAATTAAATAACTCATTGATCAAAATGAGCACAGAGTTTGGGAGAGAAAAAAATGTTTAAACACCTCTTTTTCTTGTGTTTCTAACCCATTTTGCAATCAATTCACACAAAGTCCCACACACCCTCACTGGGGTACGGGGTCCCACACACACACACTGACTCTCACTGGGGTACGGGGTCCCACACACACACACTGACTCTCACTGGGGTACAGTCCCACACACACACACTGACTCTCACTGGGGTACAAGGTCCCACACACACACACTGACTCTCACTGGGGTACGGGGTCCCACACACACACACTGACTCTCACTGGGGTACGGGGTCCCACACACGCACACTGACTCTCACTGGGGTACGGGGTCCCACACACACACACTGACTCTCACTGGGGTACGGGGTCCCACACACACACACTGACTCTCACTGGGGTACAGTCCCACACACACACACTGACTCTCACTGGGGTATGGGGTCCCATACACACACACTGACTGTCACTCGGGTACGGGGTCCCACACACACTGACCATGTACAAACTGTGACTTCCACAAGTCCCACCTCATGTTTGATTTGGGGAAAGTGGAAAAATATTAAAAGAATGGCAAGAACAGGCTGTCAAACTGTGAATCCTGACTAAACCACACATTTCTTTTCAGGGGAAAACATGAAGAGTGAATGAAAACTAAATTTTATAACTTCTGGTATAAATAATGAACGTGAAAGGGCATTTCGTTCCCCACGTTTGATTCCAATCGCACTCTGAAATAACCTGTTTCAGTTACATGAGGAATTGATTGATGTTCCTCTCAATGGAGGTTTTGTCAGGATGGCCAATCTGGGGTAACAGTTTTTTGTTCAGAAAAGGTAGATTTGGAGTTTTTTGATCACATGCTGCCCCTCAGAAATGAGCGTGAGTTAACTATCTGGGGGTGGAGCCTCTGCCAGAAATAAACCAATGGTTTTAGAACATAGAACATAGAACATTACAGCGCAGTACAGGCCCTTCGGCCCTCGATGTTGTGCCGACCTGTGAAACCAATCTGAAGCCCATCTAACCTGCACTATTCCATTATCATCCATATGTTTATCCAATGACCATTTAAATGCCCCTAAAGTTGGCGAGTCTACTACTGTTGCAGGCAGGGCATTCCACGCCCTTACTACTCTCTGAGTAAAGATTGCCTGGATTGAACACTGCACTGTGCCTCAAACTGCAAAAGCATGCATGAACAGACCAAGGCTGTTTGTACTTGGCACTGAAGCCATCGAGAGCAGACAATGAAGACCGTGGACGCCATGTTTCGTTTGAAGATGAGGAGGAGATAGATTTTGAGGACAATGTACGGGAGAAGGGCATCTTTTAGCTGACGGATAAGACTTTTGGACAGGGAGAAGACTATCAACATCTGTGGAGGAGAGAGGAAAGAAACAGAGAAATGAAAAGACAAGTGAAATGAAGGAGAACCGGACACACAGCTCTGACTCACAACCACTTCGTTCAGGAAGGTGGCTGCGAGAGAGGGAGGTTTGCAAACGCGATCATGATCTTGCAAAGAAGCCCAGTGACTGCAAGTCCCAAACCGAAAGACACCTCTGCCTGTGACAGCCCCTCCCAACACAGAAAAGACTATTCAGCCCAATTTCTCAGAGAATGGAATTATGCAATATGAGAGGGAGAAATGAGATCTTACCTCTTTGAGGCGCTCCATGTCTTTGAGGTAGAATCCGATGTAGAAAAGACTAAGATATGAATTTACAAACTGAAACTGGGAAGAGAAACAAAATGTAGGATTAGCCTATTTTCTGCTGCCATTTTGGAAATTACCATCAGTCCGCCCTGATTATTGTTGACACTGATGTTTTCCCCATTTATTTCCCCACAGGAGCCAGCCATTGTTGGCTTTCCTGGATTGGAGGTATTTGGGAGCACATTTCAGATAGCAGCTAAGAGTCAACCATGAGATAGTAGGAACTGCCGATGCTGGAGAATCTGAGATAACAAGGTGTAGAGCTGGAGGAACACAGCAGGCCAAGCAGCATCAGAGGAGCAGGAAGGCTGACTTTTCGGGTCTGGACCATTCTTCAGAAAATAAAGAAGTGTCCAGACCCGAAACGTCAGATTTCCTGATCCTCTGATGTTGCCTGGCCTGCTGTGTTCCTCCAGCTCTACACCTTGTTATCTAAGAGTCAAGCATGTCTTGGACTACAGCCAAATGGAGCACAGAATCAGAGAGTTGTTACAGAAGGAGACCCTTTGGCCCATCATACCTATACCAGTTCTATTACCTAGTTTCAGTCTCCTGCCTTTTCCCCGTATCCCTGCTCACCATTTCTAGCCAAATAACCATCCAGTGCCCCTCTCAAATGCCTCAATCGAACCTTCCTCCACCACACTCCCAGGTAGTGCATTCCACATCCAACTACTCACTGAGTGAAAAAGATTTTTCTCACATCACCCTTGCTTCTTTAAAAAAAGACATTAGTGAACCAGATGGATTTTTGTTTTACAGCAATCAATAGCATAATGATATATAATAACAGTTTCTAAAGCCAGAGTATATATCCAGCCACAGCAATGGTAGATTTCCTCCCATGACTGACACTTGTTATTTGGGACAGTCATGGTCACCTCATTAATGCTGGTTTTACATTCCATATTTATTCATTCAATTCAAATTTCGGTCGCTGCCTCACCGTGATTTGAACAATAGTATGGCCCTCTGGATTCCTACTTCAGTGACATCACCACAATACGACTTTCTGCCTTAGTTTGCTGTTAGGAAGGGAGTTACCTATGGGATACTTGTCTTTATTAGTCAAAATGCAGAGGTGCCAATGGTTGGATAAGGTCACTTGACGAAGGGGCAGTGCACCGAAAGCTTGTGATTTCAAATAAACTTGATGGACTACAATCTGGTGTCGTGTGACTTTTGACTTTTATTAGTCAAGGCATTGAATATAAGAGTAGGGAGGTTCTGATGGAGCTGAATGTAGGACATTAGTCAGGCCACAGCCTGAGTACTGTGTGCAGTTCTGGTCTCTGCACTATAGGAAGGATGTGATTGCACTGGACGGGGTGCAGAGGAGATACAACAGGATGCTGCCTGGGATGGAGCGTTTCAGCTCTGAAGAGAGACCGGATAGTCTGGGGTTGATTTCCTTACAGCAGGAACGGCTGGAATTGGGGGGGGGCGGGGGGGGGGGGTTAGATAAAGGGGGGAATGTTCTAAGGGCATCAACAATGCAGACAAAGAGAAACCTTCCCCCTTAGTAAAGTCAGTAATCAACGACACAGTTTTAAGATTAAGGAGTAGGAGGTTTAGGGGGGATTTGAGGAAACATCTTTTTACACAGAAGGTGGTGGCGATCTGGAACTGTCTGTCTGTGAGGTTGGTAGAGGCAGAAATCCTGAAGACATTTAAGTATTTAGATGAGCACCTGAAATGCCATAGCATAAAAAGCCACGGGCAAAGTGCTGGGAAATGGGATGAATGTTTGATGGATCAAAGGACCTCTTTCCATGCTGCAATAACTGTAAGAATGCATCAACTTCAGGATTTTGACCCTGTGGCAGTGACTGAACAGTAATATAAGTCAGAACCACCTGCAATTTCCCCTCCAAGCCACCCACTATCTTGGCTTGGAAGTATATTGCTGTTCCTTCAGCGTCGCTGGGTTAAAATCCTGGAATTCCCTCCCTAGGGACATTGTTGGTCTACCTACAGCACATGGACTGCAGCGGTTCAAGGAGGCAGCTCACCCCCACCTTCTCAAGGGGCAACTAGGGACAGGCAATAAGTGCTCGACCAGCCAGTGATGCCTACATTCCATGAGTCCATTAAAAAAAACCCACCATGTTAACTGAGGTTTCGATCAGCTGCCCTCGAATCTCCAATATGGCTATCCTTGTTTGATAGTTCTCTTTTAAGGTGCATTGGGTGGTTTTCCAATAATAACGACACTCTACAAATGCAAGTTGTTGTTGCAGTCCAGTTATTTTTCAATGTCAGAGGATACAGAGTGAGTCAGGAAACAGGGCGACAGCGTTTTGGCTCAGCTGTTGTCTGTGGAGGGCGAAGGTGGGAGACTGGCCAGCAGAACACTGCACAAAAGGTCCAGTGTATCTGTAGAATACAAGCAGAGTTTACGGTTCTGAATCCGGCTTCAGATCCAGCTGAGAGTGTTGGGGTACAGACTGCTGACTGCAAGGCTCTTACTACTCACAAAGATAGACAGGGTTTAGCACAGGCTCACCACACTAACTCAAGGGTGAATCAGTGACAAAGGCATCATATAGTGACTGCTGTGAGAAAGAAGATGGTTATGTACACATCCAGTGGGTACCCTCATGAGGTTAAGACTGAGGCAGAGTGTCTCAGAGGGAAGGAGCTTCACTCTCATCAAGATGTGGTGGTTGTAGCTCTGCCCCACAAGACCATAAGGAATAGGAACAGGATTAGGCCATTCGGCCCCTCGAGATCATGGCAGATCAGAAATTTCTCACACTCATTTTTGTCTTTACCCCATAGCCCTCAATTCTCCAACTGATCAAGAATTTAACTATCTCAGCCTTAAATATACACAAGGACTCTGCCCCCAAAGTTCTCTGTGGCAAGGATTTCCAAAGATTCTCAAACCTCAGAGAAGAAATTCCTCCTCATCTCAGTCTTAAATTGATGCCCCATTTTTCTGAGACCATGCTGTCTGGTCCTAGACTCTCCCATGATGGAAAACATCATCTCAGCGTTTACCTGTCATGCCACTTAAGAATCCTCTATGTTTCAATGGGATCACCTCTCATTCTTCTAAATTCCAGACAGCAGAGTCCCAACCTGTGTAACCTTTGTTCTTAAGACAATCCCTCCATACCAAGGATGATCCCAGTGAACTGTAGAGAAGAACACACTGGGATGTCTCCTCGCTGTGATGAAGTATCATCATCACAGGCACATCAGCACGCTGGGAAAAAGGTTAAAGGGATCTTCAGTTCAATAAGTGTAGGCACATCACTGAATCAGCGAGAAGGGGGGAAAGCTGAGAGAGAACAGCTATACCATGGGCTGTTGGAGGGGCCTGGGCTTGAATTAGAGTCTGAATCTCAAATATCATTGCTTCTAAATTTAACCCCGAGGAATCACTGACATGAGAACAATGTCCTTTCACGTTTCAATTCTAAAACTTGGAATCTCTCAACTGCCCTCGTGCCTCCCACCCCAATTCTTCCTCCCCCAGGCCCTTGTCCCCAAAGCTTCTCTGACCTAATTTCCCCTGGGACTAGAGCTCCATCAGGCTCAATCTAAACTCCCCCAGAGGAAGGTGAACAGGGATGGGCCCTCATCATGGTGTTGGCAAGACAGAGACTGGACTTCCAGCCGATCCAAATTCCTAGGGGTGGGCAGATTTGCGTTTCACACTGGCAAGTGGGAATGACGGGGAGGAATAGAGACTTTCCTTCTGAGCTGGCCCTGGGCTATTGGGGAGGGGGCAGCGGGGGCTACATTTAGGCTCAGTCACCAAGGCCCATGACTCAAGGGGCCTCTCTGTGCTCAGGGGCAGGGGTGTTGTCTTTGGGATTAGGTCAATGGTGGTGGTAATGTCCAGAGGTTTGGAGGTGTTGGGGGATGGAGGGGAGGGGGACAGGGGTTAATGTGCTGCAATTGGAAAGGGAACGGGTAAGGGAGGGATCAGCAAGGGAGCAGCACCTGAGTTTGTCACTCCTGTCCCAGGCCATGCATCCTACCCCACCCCCAGTACTGAGGGGAGGTTGTGGCAGGGTGGTGGGTGGGTGGGGGGGTGTAGGTTGTGGCGGGGGGTGCAGGTGAAGGGGAAACTTTCAGAAATCCTTCAGGAATTGGAAAGTTTCAACAGAAACAGCAATTTCCTGCGAGGCAGGGTCTGAGGTGTCTGACCTGGTCTCACAATTTCCATTCAGGGACTAACATTGGACTCAGAGCCCTGGAGAGGGTCAGCTTTCGGGCTGAAAACAGTGAAACGTGACCTTTTACATCCACCTGAGAGGCTGGGGTAGGGGGTGGGGTGTGAGGAGTGGGGAAGCAGGGATGGGGGCTGACGGGTGACAATGAGGATTAAGGAAGACAATGTAGCATTGGGAAGACAGGATTTCCTGGAGGGAGCAAGGTTACAGTCAATGTGGTCAGAGTGGAGAATTTACAAAAGTAGGATCATACTATTGGGGCTATGCTATAGAGAGACAGAGAGACAGAAATACAGCGACAGAAGTGGGACTAGATCAGTTTAGGATGTCTAGCCAGCACTGACAAGTCGGACCAAAGGGTCTGTTTCTGTGCTGTATAACCTTCTGACTCTATGGGTGAGAGAGACTGCAACACAGTGAGAGAGACAGTAAGTGAGAGAGGGAACATATCCGCAGGGAAATTAGAGATGTGCAAGAATTGTAAGGTCATGATTTTGTGGGGCATTAATTCCTTAAATATTAATTGGGATGATGGTGGGGTAGGAGGTAAGGAGAAGGAGAAGTCACTGAAATGGATAGTTGCTTGGTAGTGCAGAACTTGAGCATTGCTAACACACAGGGCCCATCCTTGATCATTAGTACACACAGCTACCTTGTCCAGATGCCTTTCATCTGTGGCCAAGACAGGACATTGAGGTGTAGATAGTGGAAGGTCTTTAAACTTCCCCAAATATGGGGTGACACCAGAGGACTGGAAATGTGAAACCGTTACTCAGAAAAGGCTGTAAGGACAGTCCTACCAATTATACTGCTCCTCTGATGCTGCCTGACCTGCTGTGTTCATCCAGCTCCACACCTTGTTATCTCAGACTCCAGCATCGGCAGTTCCTACTATCTCTAGCAATTATACGCTGACTCTTTTGACGTTTAACTATGTCTTTCCTTTAACAGGGTGACCAAAACTGTACACAATACTCCAAGTGTGGTCTCACCAACAACTTATACGACTGTAATGTAATGTCCCAGCTCCTGTACTCAATGCCTCGACCGATGAAGGTCAGCATGCTAAATGCCTTCTTCACCACCCTGTTCACCTGTCACGCTGCTTTCAATGAACTATGTACATGCACTCCTAGGTCCCTCTGTTCCACAACACTCCTCAGGACCTTACCATTTACTGTATAAGTCCTACCTTAGTTTAACTTTCCAAAGTGCAACACCTCACACATCTGTATTGAATTGTATTTGCCAATCCTCAGCTAGCTTCCTCATCTGATCAAGATCCCTCTGTAATTTTTGATAACCTTCCTCGCTATCGATGTCTCCTAATTTTGTATCATCCACAAACTTATTAATCATGCCTTATACATTCACATCCAGATCATTTGTGTAGATAACAAATAACAAAGGTCCCAGCACTGACCCCTGTGGCACACCACTAGTCACAGGCCTCCAGTCCGAGACACAACCTTCAACCATCAGCTTCTGCTTCCTACCACCGAGCTAATAGGATTCAAAATTGGCTTGCTCCCCCTGGATCCCATGCAACCTAACTTTCATGACTAGCCTGCTGTGTGGGACCTTGTCAAAGGCCTTACTAAAGTCCATATAGACAACATCCACTGCCCTACCCTCATCCACCCTCTAGGTTACCTCTTCGAAAAACTCCAAAAGATTTGTCAGATATGACTTCCCTCGCACAAATCCATGCTGTCTATCCCTAATCAGGCCTTGACTATCCAAATATTGGTTGATCCTGTCCCTCAGTGTCGTCTCCAATAAATTGCCTACCACTGATGTCAGGCTCACTGGCCTGTAGTTCCTGGCTTGTGACTTCAGGCCCACAGCAATGTGGTTGACTCTTAATTGCTCTCTGGCCAATTAGGAATGGGCAATAAATGCTGGCCTGGCCAGTGACACTCACAACTTCTGAATGAATAAAAAACGATTCTTCCGTTCTGACTGGACTTGCAATGTCACCTGTATCTCTCCCTACGAATGCTGCCAGATCTGCTGAGTTCCTCCAGCATTCTCTGTGATTGTTTCAGATTTTTAGTACTCTGCTTTTATCACTGCCAATTACATAACCTGGTAACTAAACACCACCCCGGCAGTTCCTGGTTGCTGTTTTGCTGACACAACATTAGCTACCTTCCAATCTTCTGGAACTTCACCAGAGGCTAAAGATGAAGTGAAAATCTCTGCAAGGGCCTCTGCAATTTCTTCCCTATCCTCTCACAACATCCGAGGATGGACTTGATCAGGCCCAGGGAATTTATCCACCTTAATGTGTTTTAAGCCTGCAAACACCTCCTCTCTGATAATGTGTATGCAGTCCAAAACATCCCCGCTTGTTTTCCATATTTCCTTAGCATCCATGATTCTCTCCTCAGTAAACATGAGGACAAATATTCATTAAAAATCTCCCCCATCTCCTGTGGGTCCACACATAGACGGCCATGCTGATCTTTAAGGGGAGCTATTCTCTCCCTAGCCATCCTCTTAATCTTAATATAGCTATAGAACCTCTTGGGATTATCTTTAACTTTATCTGCCAGATCCATTTCATACCCTCTTTTTGCTCTTCAGATTGCCTTCTTAATTGTGCTCCTACACTTTTTATAGTCATCTAGGGATTCACTTGAGCCTGACAGCTTAAACCCAACGTATGCCTTCCTTTTCCTGACATACTGTCCCTGGACTCTTGATATCACACATTTAAAAGTCTCCCATTTGCCAGTTGTTCCTTTTCCTTCAAACAGACTCATCCAATTGACCTCTGCTAGATCCTGCCTAATGGCCCCAAAATTGGCCCAGCTCCAGTTTAACACCTTAACCTGTGGATGTTTTTCCATAACTATGTTAAAACTAAGAGAGTTATGGTCACTGGACCCAAAGTGCTCTCTGACTGACACTTCAGTCTCTTGCCCGACCTCGTTTCCTAACAGGAGGTCCAGCATTGCACCTTCTTGAATAGGGCCCTCTACATAGTGATTTAGGAAACTTTCTTGGACACAGCTGACAAATTCCATCCTGTACAGGCCTTTTACACTCTGAGTGGCCCAGTCAATACAGGGGAAATTAAAATCTCCAACCAGTACTACTCAATAATTCCTACTGGTAGTTGCAATCTCTCTACACATCTGCTCCTCTAGTAGCTGCTTAATACAATCTATAATACAGTCCCAACAGAGTGACAATCCCCTTCTTGTTTCTACGTTCTAACCATATGGCCTCATTTGATGACCCCTTAACAATATCCTCTCTAAGCACTGTTGTTATGTCCTCCCTTATCAAAAGGACAATTCTGCCTCCTCACTTACTTGTACTTCTGTCACGCCTGTAGCTTCTGTATCCAGGAACATGGAGCTGCCAGTCCTGCCCTTCTCTCAGCCATGTTTCTGTTATGGCTGTAATATCCCAGTCCCAGAGCCAATCCTTGCTCTGAGCTCATCTACCTTACCAGTCAGGCCTCGTGCATTGAAATAAATACATTTTAAACCAGAAGTCTGTTCCCTCCCTTTACTGTGTCCCTGGCTATCCTGAATAGTAAACTTGCTCTCGATGGTGAATGTATTTTCTCCTGAATTCTCAATGGCCCCTCTCTTATTCAGAGTCCCAACCTCCTGCCAAACTAGTTTAAACCCTTTAAGTAACAAAGAAGCTAGCAGAACAGATAGACAAGTGGCAAGGCTGCTGGAATTTAACACAGGGAGGAGTGAGGTGACACACTTCGGAAGAAGAACATTTGAGTGTGCACAGACAGAGGAACTGGGGGCGGGTGCATACACATTCATCTTCAAAGATGGTAGGATGTACTGAGAGAGTGGGGGCCTCAGTTAGAGCTTTCTATTCAGTTTTGGTCACTGCATTGGAGGAAAGATGTAAGGGTCCTTGAAAGAGTGCAGAGGAGATTTACCACAGTGGTACCAGTTCAGTCAGGAGGCCAGCAGCAGAAATGGTTAAGAGCTACAATCAAGCATGGTGGGAATTTTGGTCAAGCTAGTTTAAACTCTAACCTCAGTTAAAACAGCAACCAGGAACTGCCGGGGTGGTGTTTAGTTACCAGGTTATGTAATTGGCAGTGATAAAAGCAGAGTACTAAAAATCTGAAACAATCACAGAGAATGCTGGAGGAACTCAGCAGATCTGGCAGCATTCGTAGGGAGAGATACAGGTGACATTGCAAGTCCAGTCAGAACGGAAGAATCGTTTTTTATTCATTCAGAAGTTGTGAGTGTCACTGGCCAGGCCAGCATTTATTGCCCATTCCTAATTGGCCAGAGAGCAATTAAGAGTCAACCACATTGCTGTGGGCCTGAAGTCACATATCGGCCAGACCAACTGAAGATGGTAATTTCTTCCCTAAAAGACATTATTGAGCCAGATGGGATTCCTTTTTCACTCCCCAGCTTCACCCCAGCAATGAACAATGATTTCACGGTAATTATTAGAATCTTAATTCCACCACAGCGAGATTTGAACCTCAGAACATTACCTGGGACTCTGGATTAATAATCCACCAATAATACCACTAGGCCTCCGCTATACTGGATTCAAAACACTCACTAGGTAATTGGCAAAGCTGGGGCTGTTTTCCATGGAGCAAAGGAGAAGAGGGGAGATATGCTGGGCCTGTTCAGGATTTTGACAAGGACAAAGGCCACAGGTTTAAGATTTTGGGTAAGCGATGCAGGGGGTGGTGTGAGGAACATCTTTTTTGGCACAGTGAGTGGGGAGGACCTGGAACACCTCATCCATGAGGAATGTGGAAACAATTGATGATTTGAAAAGGAAATTGGATGACCACATGAAGGAAAGAAGATTGTCGGGCGATGGGCACTGTACAGAGGATTGGCACCAATTGGACTGCTTCATGGACAGCTGCTATGGACTTGATGGGCTGAATGGTTCCCTTCTGCATCATAAATAGCTCTACAACAGTTGAGGACTCAGTTTAATGTCTCGTCCAAAAGACAACACTTACCAAAACTAGTTTAATGATGAGGTGTTTCTCGTAGGCACTCTGTAAACGGTAATTCTCTGTAAGAAGGAAACAGAGAGAAACGTGACTGAGACATGGCAATACAGACCCTTCGGAGTTGTATGGAACCAAGCAAAAGCAGGTTTGATAGGCATTGTGGGACAGTATAAACCTATGTGTTTCCTACATCCTTAATGCTGACCACACACTGACCCTGCACTGCCCCTCGGTGATCCACTGCTGACCCTACAGTGACCCTGTGTTGACCATGCAATGACCGCACAGTGACCTGCACTGACTCACCTCTGACCCAATGGTGACCCTCCAATGACAGTGCTGAGATTGCACTGACCCCATGGTGACCTGCAATGACCTGCGTTGACCCTGTGCTGACTAAGCAAATTTTCAAACCCCACCCCGGCAAATGAAATACCCGGGGTATTGAGCCCAGGCAGGTTGGAGGGGCTAGACATTGTGAGGTACTGCACAGTTTGAAGGGCTGCAGCATATCAGAAGGGTGGGGAGTTGGGGGGCAGGAGTTATAAGTATGGCTATTGGGGGGGTGGGCTGTTAGGGTGGGGACAGGGATCATGAAGGTGGGTATACAGGGTGGGGGCATGGGCTGCGAGGGTGGGGAGTGGGGGTGGGAACAGGACCTGTGAGGGTGGGGTGTGGGCGTTCAGGAGCTGTGAGATGGTCAGTCAGGATGGATAGCAGCTGTCTAAAAATAAAAGTAGAAACAAAACGCTGAACGTAACATATGTATAGATTAATAAACCCCATACGGTCTCTCTGCATCATCTGAATCCGTGCCAACAGTCATGAAAACTACTGGTGCCAGAATTCCAATAAACAGATTGGCCCGTCTTGTGGTCACCTCCAGTGTGAATCCAGTTCAAAGCCAGTGTAAGCCAGTAGATCTTGATCTGGTTTCATACTGGTGTGTATGGGGCTTTCCCCTGAGTCACTGAAGCTCTTCTGAACCATTGGAAACTGTTTGGATGCAGGTAGATTGGGACCTGTAGATATCTCACTCCTCTGTAATACAGGAAGGGGAGCAGACTTCCTTCACCTCTCCAGCCTGCTTCACCACCTGTTAGATCAATCCTAATATGTACCAGGGCTCCATTTACCCCAAAATCTATCAGCTTCAGTCTTGAAGGCTCCAAAAGCCCTCCAGCTTCTTTGGAGAGAGTTACAGATTCGCAGTGCTCTCTGTGTGAGGAAATGTTTCCTGACATCGTTCCGAAAGGCCTGACTCGGATTTTAAGGTTCTGGACTCCCCCAACCCCCAAAATAGTTTCTCTCAAATTGACCCTATCAGCTGCTTGAAACATTGCAAACACCTCGATCAGATCACCCCTTAACTTTCTAAACGCTAGCAAATCCACTAGTTTATGCAAACTGCATCCGTATATTTAACCAGCAAATCCTCAACATCAACCAAGAAGGGAGGAAATTAGACTCAACCATGTGGGAATCTGAAGTTGGAAGACTGGTTTGAATCAGTAGTACGGGTTAGAGGGTGACGGTGTGAAGCCCGTGATGATTGTGGTAGATTGAGAGACAGGACTGGACGTGCAGACACAGAGTGCAGTACATTACACACCTGCTGCAGTTGACAATACAAAGGGTCTCATGGATGCTCACTTTTGAACTGCTGCTTTGGTCATGTAAACTCAATACCAATACTGTGGGGAAGCAGTGATAAAGTGGTAATGTCACTGAGCTCCGAACTCAGAACCCAGCTTAATGCGTTCAAATCCCACCACAGCCAATGGTGAAATCTGAATTCAGTTAAAAGCCAGTCTAATGGTAGCCACATGATCATTGTCAAATGCCATAAAGACCCATCTGGCTCATTGATATTAGTTAGTTCTGTTGACTGGTTTGCAATCAGAGTGACACCAACATTATGGGTTCAAATCCTGCACCAGCTAGAAGTTATCATGAAGGTCTCTCCTTCTCAACCTCTCCCCTCACCTGAGGCATGGTGACCCTCAGGTTAAACCATCACCAGTCATCTCTCTGTCATGAGAGAGCAGCCTAATGGTCTGGTAGGACAAAGGCAATTTTACCATTATACCTGGATCAGAGGGAGGCTTGTCCTAAGGTGGTTAAAAACAGTGTCTCCATCGCAACACATACAACTCTATAGTGATTTTTGACTGAGGCTTGGAGATACTCAAAACCTGAGGAAATTGAGCTGCACTTCTAATACTGATCCATGAAAAACTGCTCAATGTGCAATTACAGCAGCTCAGTGATGGTGATCTGTTCACTGAATGGACCAGAATCTGCAAACCAGGAAAAGAGTTCCAAAATTCAGCAAGTCTTGTCTTGTTGGGTTACTCTGCATTCACTGACTTCACAGGTAATTTTGGAACACGTAGGGCCTGTTCTGTTGCTCAATGAGATTGTAGCTAATCTGTGACCTACCTCCATTCACTCACCTGCTCCACTATTCAATAAGATCATGGCTGATCCTCTCCCTTAGTCCCACACTCCTTCCCTATTCATAATCTCCTGATTGGTGGAGAAAGCAAATATCCATCAATCTCAGCATTAAATAAACCCGATGGTAGAGCATCCACAATCCTGGGGGGTGAAGAATTCCAAAGATTCACAATCCTCTGAAGGACATAGACCCTTCCCCACCCCTGTTCCTCTAACATCACCCTGTTCCCTTTCATATCCATTTCTAACTCAGACTCACTGTGAAATGCCTTGCTTCATTTATCAATTGAGTTCTTTTGCCAATCTCCTTAAAGCTTTGTCCTTTGGTTATTGATCCGTTTCTACAATTTATCGTCAATCGCTTTGTCAAAATTCTTCCTGATTTTGGACATCTAATTTCTCTGAACTAGGGAGCACAACCCCAGCTTCTTTAGTCCCTTGATATAACTAACATCCTTCTGGTAATGATGTTCAATGGGATTACCATCACTGATTCCCACACCACCAAGTTCCTGGCATCACCATTGACGGGAAACTGAATTGGACTGTCCATATAGATACAATAGCTACAAAACCAGGTCAGACGCAAGGAACACTGCAGCAAGTAACCTATTCCTGACTCCCCAAAGCCTGTCCACCATTTATAGGGCACAAGTCAGGAGTCTGATGGAATACTTGTCCGGATGAGTTCAGCTCCAACGACACTCAGGAAGCTTGGCACCATCCAGGGCATCTGGTTCACTAATGTCCTTTAGGGAAAGAAAATGCCTTCCTTACCCAGTCTGGTCTACATGTGACTCCAGACCCATGACAATGCGGTTGAATCTTAACTGCCCTCTGGGCAATTAGGGATGGGCAATAAATGCTGGCCAGTGACACCCTCATTTCGTGAATGAATACAAAAAAAATCAAAGCAGCCTACTTGATTGGCACCACACCCACCACCTTTAATACTCACTCCCTCCAGCATCGACACTCAGCAATAGGTACCATCTACGTCCATCTAGAAGGACAAGGGCAGCAGATATATGGGAACACCACCCCTTGCAAGTTCCCCTCCAAACCACTCACCATCCTGACGTGGAAATATATTGCTGTTCCTTCAATGTCACTGGGTCAAAATCCTGGAATTCCCTCCCTCAGGGCATTGTGGATCAACCCACAGCAGGTGGACTGCAGCGGTTCAAGAAGGCAGCTCACCCCCACCTTCTCAAGGGCGATTAGGGATGGGCAATAAATGCTGGCCCAGCCAGCAACACCCACATCCCATGAAAAAATAAGATGAAAATCTTAATAAACTTAAGTAATTGGCCCCACGCTCCCCCCACCCCCTGAAGGGGAAAATATATTTAGTACATACCCATGTCATTTAGCCAGTAGGCAATTTTCTTGTAAACATCGTCAAGAATTGTAATCACAACAGCTAAAAAGATTTTAGGAAAATAGGTGACTATCCATGGCAATTCTTTGACACTTGACACAAATTCCTGGAAAATGGGAAAGCAGAAAATAAATTACGAACAAAGTATTTGTTAGACTTGAGAAAATAAAGCCCTCTGAATCAAACAGTCTCAGGCACACCGAATTATTATTGGAGTATAGTGACTATTTTTGTGTAGTTCACTGAGAAAGTAACTCAACATTAGCAACATCTGAAGTTAAAGATTAGAAGTTCTTCTATAGTGGTGTTGGTTGAGGGATAAATAATGACTAGCACATTGGAGTAAATCTCCTGATCTCTGGATAATGTCGTGGGTTCTCTAATTTACAATCCTGGTTAAGTGACAGGAAACACAGAGTAGTTGTAAATGGGTATTTTTTGGATTGGAAAAAGGTGTTTGCCATGGGGCCAGTATTACTGCTTTTCTTGACTGGTTTATTGCTGAAAAGAAAGGGACATGTTATCAAAGTTTTTTGTTTTGCACTCAATAGGACAGTATTGCAAGAACACCAAGCTTCTATGGGAACAACAATTTATAGTGCATGAGAAAAGGGTGTTCATTGGTTGGCAAGTGGCCTTGATTGGTTGAGGTGTTGCCATGAGGAATGCACCAAAGAATAGTTAAGCCTCAAGTGTTTAATTAAATTCAAATCAGGAAAGTTCACTCTGATTGGTCAAGGCATTGGGTTGCAAACTGCACAAGGAATGATTGTTCCAAAGCATTTTGTTTGGATAAAAAGACATAATGTATGAATATATTATTGCTGTTTGCAAAGGACAGGGCCCCGCAGGTGAACACATGGTGGCGTCTAGCAGGAATAAGTGAGCTATATTGCAAACTTGACTGATAATCTTCAACTGGATGTCAGCGTGATTCTCACACAGTTGGACTTGTTCAGTAAATGTTGTCCAGTTACGGAAACACATTTAATATTGGACACTATGTTTAGTATGGTCAGTGCTCTGCGTGTTCCAAACATGAAGGGACATGCTGTTTGATACAAACTACCTGTCATTGGAGATGTGTCCAATAACCCGGCATCATGCCAATACCTGATTGTAATGAGCAGTGGGTCTCTTTGGCTGTTCTGACTACCTCGGCAAAAGAACCAAACGCATTAAGGGGAAGACTGTTTTACGCAGTGAATGGTTAGAAGTGCACTGCCTGAGAGTAAGTCGGATGCAGGTTCAACTGTGCCTTTCAAGGGGGAATTGGATAAGTACCTGCATAACCATTATTACCAGGGTTACGGAGCAAGAATAGGGGAGTGGGACCAGATTAATTTCTCTTGCAAAGAGCTGGTACTACCTTGACAGGCTGGATGATCTCCTGCACTGTAACCATTTTATAATGATATGATACTAATAAACAAGTGATTTTATTTCTCATCTGAAAGAAAGCACCATTGGCAATACAGCACTCCTTCACTGCTGCCCTAGACTGTAAGTTTAGATTATATGTGACAATGTTTAATTTGTTAACTAATCACACCTCTCAGATAGCTACTGAGTGAGGTTGACACCGACAAAGTACAGAGTGTACTGGAGTTGACCAAGGCTTTACACAGCACACACTGTGTGCCGCTGGTTTAGCCATACACTGTATAGGGAGCTGATTGGAGCTCTGTGATAGCCCTACAGAGTGAAGCCCACGAGGCTGGTTCGTGCCTGACCCCAATAATTCCTTCATCCAATTAAGCATTCTTCTGACCAGTACCTTGACTATGTGAGTTCAAAGTTCAATAATGCAACATAATGGAACACAAAGAAAACATTTCGTTACATCAACTATCACCTTTTATGAATTATAATTAATTGGGTTTGGCCATTTGTTGATCACTGAGATTGCACAATGGAGGAGAATAGGAAGATGCTTGTGTCCACTGGGATAATATACAGTGGGAGAGAATGGGAAGGGGTTTGGGTCCAATGGGATAGCGTACAGTGCGAGTAATTAGGAAAGGGCTTGGGCCCAATGGGATAGCGTACAGTGGGAGTAATTAGGAAAGGGCTTAGGTCCAATGGGATAGCGTACAGTGGGAGTATTAGGAAAGGGCTTGGGTCCGATAGGATAGCGTACAGTGGGTTGGAATAGAATGGGGTTTGGATCCATTGGGATTACTTGTTGATAGCAGTAAAAGAGAACTGATTTTATAAATTAACATTCTTGGCTTGCATTACGTTTGTAGTGACATGTAGCTGGGCTAAAATTCTCTAAGTTAATGCGTTTGATATTTGCAGAACTAGATCTTAATTGCATGTTTTTCTGTGTTAAATTGCAGAACATCTTTTGGAATCTGCACTCAATTTATGGCACATGAGGCATCCCATTTCATGCTTACAAAACAGCTGCTGTATTCTCACAAGAAAAATTACAACCATGCTTTAGTTATGCTGAACAAGGTTTCACAAATGGGTCATCTGTGACACAGGAGCCTGAAACAGGTGGCTGGTACTGACCTGCAGTTCAAAGCAGATTAACATGGTCAAGAAGACCACGCAGAGACAGAAGAGACAGACAGGAAGACTGACAAAATACTGGAATAACCGCCTTTTCCAAGGTGGGTAATAGTAGTCCTCGCAACCTGTAACTGGACTGACACACTTGACACCCTGCCGAGGTGGGGGAGGGGGGTGGTGCGGGGAGAGAGAGAGATGAGAAGCATTAAATGACCAAAAGAAACTACAGAGAGTTGTGGACACAGCCCAATACATCACACAAACCAGCCACCCATCAATTGACTTCATCTATGTGCTGCATGGAGAAAGCAGCCGACATAATCAAAGGCCCCTCTCACCCCAATAGTACTCTTGTCCACCCTCTTCCGTCAGGGAGAATATATAAAAGTTCATATACACGTACGAACAGATTAAAGAACAACTTCTTCCAGAACTTCTGCTATCAGACTTTTGAATGGACCTCTTTAACATTAACAACAACAAAAACAAAGTTGCTGGAAAAGCTCAGCAGGTCTGGCAGCATCTGTGAAGGAAAAAACAGAGTTAACGTTTCGAACTGTTCTGAGCAAGGGCCACCGGACCCGAAACGTTAACTCTGTTTTTCTCCTTCACAGATGCTGCCAGACCTGCTGAGCCTTTCCAGCAAATTTGTTTTTGTTCCTGATCTACAGCATCCACAGTTCTTTCAGTTTCTCTTTAACATTAACATTGATCTCTCTCTGTACTTTTTCTGTGGCTATAACACTGTATCCTGCACTCAGTCCTGTTACCCTGATGCATTTGTACAGCACAAGCTGCTTGCAAAATGCATAAAACAACACTTTTCTCTGTACCTCAGTACACATGACAGTAATAAATCAAATTAAATCATTAAAATATCATACAGAAAATCATGTGATACAGGTTTATAATATGAGTTAGGAATTTGGATCTTAAAATAGAAGTAAAATAGATTTTCATTTTAGAGATAGTAGCAACTGCCAATGCTGGAGTCTGAACTAACACTGTGGAGCTGGAGGAACACTGCAGGCCAGGCAGCATCAGAGGAGCAGGAAAGCTGACGTCTCGGGTCGGGACCCTTCTTCAGAAATTCTTCAGATTTTCATTTTAGTTTTGTGAACATAACCTTTTCTTTAAAGACATCAGAAGGTCATTTGGAACAGTAAATCAAGTACATCATTTCAAAGAAAGCATATGATTTAAGTTAAATGACTTGATCAGATACCTGTGTTATTAATTAATGAAGTGTTTACCATGCTGAGTTTTAAACAGAAACAAATGGTCAACTAATAGGTTGAGAAAAATCATGTTTCAGTTCAGGGAAAATATCAGATTTTATCCCAGCAGAAGGGCAGCTTGCTGGTTTGCTAGAAATTCTCAGACTGTGGGAGTTTAACGCAATCTCCAAGTTGTGAAAATTTGCAGAAACTTCCTGATTGTCAGAACTGAAAACAAAGTCTGGAGATGATCAGAACTGGAAAGATTCAGTTAAATAAGAAATGGGAGAGTTAAATAGGAGTTATACATTACTGAGACTGAGTATGTGTAAAGAATATTGCTGGGAAAAGAGATGAATCTTTGGGCTGAATCTCAACAGAAATTGATTAAAAGTCAGAGATAACAAGGTGTAGAGCTGGATGAACACAGCAGGCCAAGCAGCATCAGAGGAGCAGGAAGGCTGACGTTTTGGGCCTAGACCCTTCTCCAGAAAATCAGAAAATCATTAAAAGTCAGTTTCTTTGGCATTAGTAGAAGGGTTCTCTCTGCTGGGTTGAAAGGATTTTCTTGCACATTCATCCCAAACTCACCCCATTACTTATATACCACACCCTGGCACCTTCTTATCTAATGCTAGCCCAATTCTCTCACTCACTGGAGCTGGAAGCACTTTCCATTGCTGGGATTTCTCAGGATCCTTGTCACCGGGCCATATTCGAAAGATCATTATTCCCCTGATCAGTCCAGAGCTGCCCTGCATGATTGGACACATTCACCTTGGACATGACAGACAAGAGGAAATTGGCACCTGGCTTTCTGGACAAGCTGGCTTTGACTTCAAGGTGGGGGTATGCAGTTGCACCATGGCTAGCATATAAGGCCACAACACCGGGCTCTGCTGGCCCAGTGTGAGATTGCCACCAAGGTTAGTGTGAACTCCATGGTCTGGAGAAACGCCCAACACTGTAGGAAGAACATCAATGGTCTTCTCTTCTCCATCAAGATCTTTTCTCTGATAGCTCACACTCACTCTGTGGCTGTACCCAGCTCCCACCGAGGCTCATGCGCTACCTCTCTCTCTATTGCCTGCAACATCTTCCGTCACTTGCTCCCACATGTCCACACAACACTTGATCACATCAGCACAAAACACTGCAAACCATTTTCACCTCACTCACTTCCCCCCTGTTCTCTCTTTATAGGAGTCAATCACAGGGCTGGGAGAGCCTGGCTGGATGCTGGGTGTTAGTTCTTTCTTTCCTAACCCCCCCTGAGGAGAGGATCTTGGCCCTGGTGATAACTTGGACTGCTCCTGTGGCGATGTCAAGACCTCTGCGTTCCCAGCAACTGAGTAAGAAACATCGTTCATTGCTGTGCTGCTCTGTCACGGCCCCTACTGTGCCAGTCTTATTCTCATACTATAACTTTTAACTCTCAATCTTGATGCTTTCCCTCTCTCGCCTCCTGCAGGAGTGAGCGGGATGTCGGTGGTCTCTGTGGTCAAGGGGGTAGTTCACCTCCCCTCCTCCACATCAGACAGAGCAGATACCAGAAGGGCTGCCTCCTGCACCATCCGCCAGCTCAGGTACTGACCCCTTTGGCAGGTATGTTAGCTAGATTAGAGTTGGGAGAATTGCTGGTGACCACTCCACTGGCCTGTCCCTGCAGCTGGCCAAGGGAGAAACTTGGCGGCACTTGGAGCTCTGCCAGAGACCGGGCACCTGCTCAGACCCAGGCAAGAGAGGAGCCTGTGGTGTTTGACAACCAGAGACTTCATTGCCATGCACGAGCAGGGGCAGGAGCAGCACGTTTTGGTGAGGGCAGTGGGCAAACTGGCACGGAGGGTACAGGGCTGCAGCAATGCCATCAGAGACCCTACTGCTTCAGGCATGCGACCATCTGGCTGCCTCCTTGGGCAGGTTGGCAGCTGCCATGGAGAACCAGGTCCAGCAGTCTCAGAGTCTGCAGGATATGCACACAAACCTGCATTCCATCCTTTTTCTGAGGGGACCTTACCCTCACCCCCAGGTGCCCTGTCCAGCAAGGAGGCGTGGCAGTACCAATGGCACCCCAGCTGCAGCAGGAACCACACACGGGGCCCCTCAGAGGTTTCTTCTCAGGACAGTCCAGGGGTAGCCAGGACCTGCACCTTGACTCTTGCAATCCCCTCTGCATCCCGGCATTCCGACTCCAATCCTCACAAATGGGTTTCCGGCCTCCCTCCCACAGTAGTGACAAGACCATAATAAAACCTGCACTTGTAGTGGAGGAACTGCCATGACTGACTGTGATCCACCCCCTTGAATGGCTTAACAAGACAGTCCCAATGATGAGTGGATGTGGGATAACGAGAATCCGGTCTTGATGCCTGGGACTTGGCTGGAAAATGTGACTTTTTGGTCTTGACATTGAAACGAGCCCCATTCGACATCTCACTCTAATTTCCCAAAT